GTCTGGGGTCTTAAAAGCTTGAAGGTAAACAAGCGGCCATCTAGCTCAGAAGCAACAAAGCCCACATGGAAGAACATATCAGCCTGTGTGATCATGAGGTAAATGTTTTATCCATCTTATGGATGTGAAATTATTTCTTCCTGTGTTTTTGTTTGCTTATTTTCATTTCTTTCATGGAAATGCCCACTGCTGTGCGTCCATTCTGATTCATAGCACTTCTATAGGGCAGCATAGAATTCTTTGATATGAGTTATAGACTACAGAGATAGTTTTCAAGACTGTACATCTCTGCAGGATCAGAAAGCTTCACCTTTCTCCCAGTTAGGGTTTGACTGATTTCAAACCTTGTGCTTAGCAGCCGATGCTTAGTCCCCTATGCTACCAGGCATGCTTTCATTTATAGAGAGCTGATTCAAGTCTTGTAAACATTTTATCTGTTGGAGTATATCTTTAGGTATAAACTTTATCCTAAACTATACCCCGATCTTTTATTATTCATAATGCTACGATTATTCATCTATATATTTTTACGTTGGTTTTCAGTACCTTTGTTAAATAGAAGTCTTAGTTCTAATCTACCAAATCAGCTGTCATCAAGTCAATTCTGACTCCTTGTGACTTTAGATAGGGTTTCTGAGGCTGTAAACCTTTATGGAAACAGATAGCCTCACCTTTCACCCCAGCAGTGGCTTACGGGTTTGAACTGCTGAAATGAGCAGTCCAAAACTTACCTGATAGAACCACCAGAGTTCCATATAGTCAGGTTTATCAGTGTTTTTATTTTAATGGTTTGTTGTCTATTAGGTCTACTGTTGTTTAGGTCTTGTTTAAGATAACTTTTCAACCAAAAGGTGCCCTATAATTTCTTAAAATATATATGTATATATAGTTTTTGCCGGAGGACAATTTCAGGGGGTAGGAAAGGAGGAGGAATGGAAACCGGAGACAGTGGGGAAGCAGGAGAAGCAGGGGTACGCTGGGGGGATTGCAGTGGATGAGTCGGAATTGCTGAGTGTAAAACTGCCATCTGCTCTGTAAACCTTCCCCAAATCCACCATAAGAAGTCTGTTTCATATTTAGGACTTTAATCCACCTGCTATTTTAATGTGTGGTGCTAGGTAGGTATCTACATTGATTTAATTCTAAGTAAACAGCTGTCCTAAAACAATTTATCCTTTCCTCCAGCTGTCATGCACTCTGAATGTATACATGTAAATGTGTTTCTGATGACGAGGGGTCCTGGTGATGCAGTGGGTTACACGTTGGGCTGCTATCCTCTCCGCTGGAGACAGAGGAGGAAGATGAGACTTTCGGTTCTGTAAAGATTACAGCCCCTGAAACCTGAAGAGGCAGTTCTGTTCTATTCTCTCGGGCTGCTGGGAGTCGAAATCAACTTCCTGGCAGTGGTGAGAGTATGATTTTTCCTGGGGGTTGGGGGCATTTTTTTGGCTATATATGGTTATTTGTTGTCTCTTCTTGTGTCAATACCAACTATTTTGATTATTGTTCCATTACATTAAATTGTTTCATCTAACAATACAAGTCACTTTTTTTTAACTTCAAAATTATCTTGGCTATTCTAGGCCACAATCTTGGATCTCACTTAAAAATTAGGAATTTTGGTTCAAGTAGCATTGAATTTGTAGATTAATTGGGAAGCACTGTCAGCTTTGTGATTGTGAGCCATCTCTTTGAACAAGGTCTATAAGACCCTTAAACATCTTTTTGTTGTTATTATAAATGGGATATTTTATTCCTTTCCTTTTTCTTACGGGAGGAAAATACATATGACATAAAATCTGCCATTTTAACCCTTTTCAAATGTACCGCTCAGTGGCATTGATCAGTTTCACAATGTTGTACAACCATAACCACTATCTATTCCCAAGATTATTTTCTTTACTCCAAACAGAAACTCTGTGTCCATTGAGCAATAACTGCTCATTTGTCTCCCCGAGTCCCTGTTAAGCTCTAATCTACTTCTGTCTCTGTGAATTGTCCTCTTCCAGATATTTCATTATTATTTGTCCTTTTGTTTCTGGCTTATTTCACTTTTCATCATGTTTTCAAGGTGGCAGTGTGTGTTGGGAATTCATTTCTTATATTTTACAATAAGATACTATAGACTTTAGGAAAATTATTTTTATTGGTTAATATTGAGACTACTAACTGTATTTAATGCTCTTTTACTGGTGTTGCTGAGATTCTCTTGAATTTTGTGTGTAGATAATCATCACCTATAAATAAGGTCAGTTTTCTCTTTCTCATTGTAACTTATAACCATTTGTTTCTATTTCTCGTATAATTACTTTTGCTAGGGCCTGTAGTATAGCAAATAATATAAGATATCATAGCAATATTTATTTTGTGCCTGACTTTAATAGAAGTCATTTTAAAGTCTCACTATTAAAATCTGTGATATTTTGCAATTTAATTATCGTGCTTCTGCGTGTGGACTTATCCTTTCCTTGGGTATTCAAAAGGGTTTTTATCTGAGGACTCAGTTTTCTCAATTTTCTTATTTTCTCCACTACACTGTCTTTAAATGGTGTTTTCAGCTTTCCCTCCTGCAAACGTTAGGTTTTGTGTTAACTTGGCAGGACCAGGATTCTCCTGTAAGGTAATCTAGCATAATGTAATCAACTCCATGATGGGATCTTCAGTGAGCAACCAAGCAGTTGTAGGAAGATTAGTGTGGAATGCTACCCCCTTATCCAGGTCACAACTTTGATGCCATTACAAGGAAGTTTCCTCAGTGATGTGGCCTACTCCTGTTTAAGCAGGCTCGGTGGGAAGGCTCCTTCCTTCTTCTTGCTGGGTCTGGGTCTTACATCTGTCTTCTTGTTTTAGACATGAGCCTACTACATGGGAGCCTACTACCCTGGGAGCTATAAGTGGCCTGCTATATTGCCTGTGCTGACTTTGAATTCAACCACCTCTGCCTCCACTGCTCTGTGGTCTTCCTGCTTTCTGATTCAGCAGTCCTGGCAACTATGGTGCATAGGAAAAGCCTTCAGCTTAACATTTGACTGATGGATTTAGACCGGACTGGATTTATCTACAACAAGTGTGTGAGCCATTTCCTTGATATGAAATTATATATATCACTGCCATCAAGTCAACCCAAGGCCAGAAAGGCCATACAGAAAGTGAGCCCCCCCCCCCAAAAAAAAAGAAAGTAAAACCCATTACGTTGCAAATGAATATAAAGTTTTTGTCCCTATTCTTTATTTCATATGAGGGGGTCTCAAACTGTTTGTGAAAAAATGGTATTGAAAGATAATGGAATTCTTCCATGAACTTTTTGAAGCCCTCTCATATATGGTCTTCTGCTCTTACAGGTTTACACTCCTAAATGTTGTAATTAAATGAGGGTCATTTGCCCACCTTCAAGCAGCGTTTTACTCTAGCCATAGTGAAAAATACATTTTATGTGGTTTCAAGTACCAAACACATACATACTCGATTTTTCTGATTGTTCACATAACATGCATGTACACATACCATATGTGCATGTATGTATGGTAATACATGTAAGTATAAATCTAGAATAAGTCATAAAACAATACCATGATTTATTTAATTCTAGATTATTCATTGTATGCATTAAGGAAAAAAAAATGGTTGTAAGCCAGTCAGTTGATTTCAGGATCCACTAATGTGTTTCTATTTGAAAAGTATAGTTGAATGTATATTTGAGATAGCATCTATAAGAGTTTTAGGCTCAAGAATAGGAACAATTGTAAGGATGGCACAGGACTGGGCAGTGTTTACTTCTCATGCATAGAGTCACTAGAGCTGACTTGATGGCACCTAACAACCACAACATAAAGTTAATGTGCCTTTTCCTTACTTGTATTTGCATTTACTGGCAGAGGAAATATTCAAATTTATCAAGGGGCTCCAAAAGCTTATGGAACACCAGCAAGTGTGATCGGAGGTTATTACCATTAAAATCCAAGCTAAGAAAAGGAGGCTGTATCACAGCTTAAAATGCTGAGTACTTGGTTTGCAGAAGACTGTGGATGACAGCGAAAGCTCCAAATCCATTTCCACACCTGCTCCATGTGGACTAAGCCTCCATTGACTTCGTTCATCTGTTAACCATTGATGTGAATAGTTGTTTCTCCAGAGAGAGTGCCATGAGAAGATTTCTGCAGACATGGCTAGGTTAACATTGAACATATTACCGTTTGCTTTCCCTTTTGGCCCATTTTAACTCATTCTGATTTTTATTTGTTATCAATTTGCATTGAAGTTTTTCTGTGTCTTATTCTGTGGTGGTGGTGGTTGTTTTTTTCCTTTGTTTTAAAAATATTTTCTTTATATGAAATGCAAGATATTGGTACATCTATAAAGAAAGCAACTAGATGAACAGTCACTGTGCATAGGCATTGACTCAGTGGCAGTACATTTGTTTTTTACTTTGGGTTTTATAAGCTCCAGACACTGAGACAGCTCCCAGACCATCCCAAGTTGTCAAACTTTAAAACTTATGCTTTTAACCAATAAGAGAAACATGTCCACTATATTCCAAAGAGGAACTGCTGCTTTATTTTAAACTCAAGTTTTAATTATTCTTCCTAGCCAATGTGGTTGGTGTTTTAGCATATGAGGGGATAGCCCCCCCCCACCAAAAAAAGGAAATTTTTTCCAAAGCTATGTATGTAAATTAGTTTTACAAAATAACCTTGTCACCTTACAAGTACTCTCCATTACACGTAATACATTTGTCAAATCTGCGATTCTATTCTTGGAAACATTTTTCAAGCTCATCTGTTTGTTGTCAAATTGCTGTCCTTTCATGTCCCTCTGTATTCATGGAAACAAAAAGAGATTGTATGAATGAGGTCAGGTTAGTAAGGTGTGTGGAGCAAGACAGGCATGATTTTTTTTTTTTGCCCCAAACTGAGATGGCTGCTTGAGCAGCTGCATTGTCATGTTGGCAAAACCAGGCCCCCGTCTGCCACAAATCAGGCCTTTTTGGTCTAACACTGATACACAATCTTTGCAGAACCTCTAAGTAGAAAGCTTGATTAACAGTCTGACCTGGACCAAACCCCAAATGCACTACGAGTTGACATTTTCATCCATTCAGGAAGTTGAGGACGTCCAGAACAAGGTTTGTCATCAATCGAAAATTCACCTTTTTTGAAATGAGAAAACCACTCATACACTTGAGTTTTTCCCATAGCGCTATCCTTGTAAGCTGTGTTCAACATCACAACACTTTCTGTGACATTTTTCCCAACAGGAAACAAAATTTCACAGCCTCATGCTGTTTTCTTAAATCAGCCATCACAAAAAACGAGGTTCGAGCAAAACTGCTTTTATGAAAAAATTTACCGTGACCAGAGAGAATTTTCACGGGCAACACCACTGGGTGCACTAACTCAGAGTGAGTTGCTCCATGCTTGCCTATCATGAAAATGCATGCTATGTGTTTTGCTCCGCTCACCTACCGCCCACCCACAGCTTTTTGGGGGTACCCTCTCATAAAAAAGATACTAATAAGCAGTGAAGGAACCAGAGCTTTTTTTCACCCCCCTCGTTTTCACACCCTAAGGAGCCATTATAATCTATCTCTAGAATCTGACTTTACTGAAGAGTTGGCTCCTGACTTTACAATTGCCAGTAAGCGGTAAGCCCTCTCTGGAATGAGAGATGGTGAAGGCTCATCTGACTTCTTGACCATTGCCATCCACTTCCTGAAGGTTCTAGACAGGACTGGTGCAGGCCTCCTTCCTGACAAAGAGCCCATGACGTGTGGTGTGGCCACACACAAATGGCAGCATCCATTCACTTGTACTTTATCAAACTGGCGTAAAAAGGCTAGGGTTGAGATGAGAGTTGTTATCACCTTCCAGAAAAAATGTGTCCTAAAATATTACTTTCTTTTCATTTTCTTCTGAGACACGAACAACTTATTTTTTTTTAATGTAATGATTTTTTTGTCTAAGGCCTTTTTTTTATAAAATGTACTGTTGTTTTAGTAGATATTAACTGAATATATAAAAATCTAATACTCTGAGGAACAGAGTAGACTATTACTACTTAAATAAGTGGAAATATAATCTTTGATTTGCATGTAACCTCACTAAGCAAAGCATGAGCAGACTGCTCAATGAGTGGAGCTGAAAGTCTTGCCCTCAAAGGGGCTTTTTACATTTTCTTAGGATAGCTATCTGGAAACGGATTAATGGATTATAGCACACTGGCAAAGATTGATTATAAAGCTCGCTGCTGGCAAAGGTAGGGCAATCACAGCCACCGCCTTCTACCTGGTGTCCCTGCTGTGCCTTCATCAGATCTCAGTCTGCGTCCCTGTGACAGCATGAGTGATCCTGTTAACTCCAGTCAGAGCCTCTCACTCCTCTGCTCCGATGCTTACGGTGACTGCCTGAGG